GATGTTTGTGTGTGTATGTGTGTGTGTGTGTGTGTGTACCGAATGCACGGCCGCAATTTTCGACGTATTTGCACCAAAATTTACATGCACATATTCCAAGTTAGCAGAAAGGCCAAGACCGACTTTGCCTTTCCCAACTCCCATCGATAGTGGAAATAATCGATTTTTTCATGCTTCTACGACGATTTTCATGTAGTTTGCGGCCATTTTCTACTGGTCAGAGTGAGAGCCTATAGCTGTCTGTTACGAATAGGCAGGAAGATTTTATTGGCCTGCGTGAGAGCCAACATCTGACTGATACGAATGTTAACTAGCATGCAAAAAAAAATCGATAGCTGCATTCATCACAAGTTTGAAAAATTTAAATCTGCATGGCACTTTACTCCAATTGACTCATTCGCTTGCTTAAACTCAACGTTGATTCCGATTCCACAGAACTGGGTTGGGTGTGAAAAAGTATTTGTTGTCAACATTCTTTTTTCATTCGGTTTTTCCAGTTACGAGTCCTTTTTTAAAGCTGACCGTTTTGTGTTCATTTTGTTTAGTTCTTTTTTCGTAACAGATTTAATGTTTAGTATAGAGCTTAGAAAAAATTCTCAGTGTGAGATAGACAAAAAGTAAGGCATGTAGCAATATCAGCACGACAAAGGCCACTCCTTTAAAGGCAAGGAGGGGCAAAAATATGTTAAGTCAAGTGATAGCGATTGCTGTATGAGTCGTACGATTTTTGAATCCAGCACAGGCAACGCCGGCCCATGCTGCTAGCATGGCCTTAAAGATGAGGACAATAGTCCAAATAATGTAAATAATGTACATAATACCTCATCTCAGAAATATAGACAGATATATTGACGACTACAACATTATGAAATCGCGTATATTGCACAATATTTAAAGATACTTGAATGTCCGCCGTAACACTATAGAAAAATACTTGTTGACAACAACAATATAATATATTACAAAATGAAAAGAATAAACAATACCTTCATATTCTCGATGCCCTCTATATCAAAAGCAACAGACCAGCACTGAACAAAATTTATTATTAGTGTTATAGTCATGTTTTAAAATACACTTTAGTTGACTAACTTTTAACACCATTTTGTATTTTACCAACTCTGGTTACCTCCCTTGTGAACGCTTGTTTGCAAAAACATCGTAGCTCAAAATGACTATTATGCTTTCATGTGTGTTTACACAAATCACCATCACAACGATCACAATTATATTAAGTCTGAGGATGACCTCGGAGAAGATCGAAAGTACTTTTGTTAACAAGAACCACGGCACCTTTCTTGATGAATTTCAACTTAACGTCAAGAAAATAATTACAGAACTAGAAAGGATTATTGTAAAAATAAATAAACATAATATCTCTATTACCAGCAATAAATTTTGAAGAAAAAAAACTTACCAGCAATACATTTAAAAAAAAATATTACCAGCAATACGTTTTAGAAAAAATATATTACCAGCAAAATATTTTTGAAAAAAAAATATTACCAGCTATACATTTTTTAGGAAAAAAATATTACCAGCAATACATTTTTGAAGGAAAAATATAACCAAAAATAGATTTTTGAAGGAAGAAATATTACCAGAAATAGATTTTTGACAAAATAAAATATTACCGGGGAAAAAAATGTCGGTATTAAATAACCGATTGAGGTTGATATGCTGTAAAACGAAACAAACCAAAGTAAATCAAAATCATTTTCTAATTAACTGTTTCTTATTACCGTATATACTCAAATATAAGTCGGTTTCGTGTATAGTGAGAACCTTGAACTTTTTGGCACATAACCCCTCCAATGGAACCGGTGACCGAAAATGCATGATTTTTAACCCCTTCAAAAAAAAAATTACAGTGTAACCCGGATATAAGAGAGTTGTCGGGACGGGAGAAGAAGTCTCTTATATCCGGGTCTAATTTACATTAATATGCATTAACACAGGCTATAATTTGGGACCAGAGAAAATCTCTCTTATATCCGGGATTCTCTTATATCCGGGTCTCTTATATCCGGGTTACACTGTAATGTATAGCGCGATCTCCTTTTATTAAGTAATAATGATCAGTTTGTACTATACTCGCATATAATACAGTACTTGGTGGCCACCTCGAGGTGGTGTAATACTTGTCACGCTGGAACACTTACGACGGAATAGTGAGTTCGATCCTCACTTGGTGACACCTACTTTCGGCCTTGTGCCGCATCTAAGCTACGCTTGGTGAATCACTGTTTGGAAACATAAACATAATACGATCTGGATCTCATCCAATAGACATTAGACATTAGGGTAGTGGGATCCTTTCCCTCTCTGTCTTAGAAGCGTTTCTCCTTTGTTGCTATAGCACGTCGTAAGAAGAAAAGCCCACACGTTTAACATTAAAAACAATTCTTGGAATAATAACGATTCTTCTCAAAATTACTAAAAAAAAAAATCACTACAGACTCATTTATTATAATATAGAGAAAAACGTGACTATTTCGATTCAAATAAATAATATACACACAATTAATATAAATGAAACAAAAGAAAACTACATTTACCAAGTGTATTCACATATAGAACAGCTCATGCGCGCGCACAAGTATTCGTGACAGCGCATGCGCCGGATCTTACGAAAGCCTCATTTAAGGTAATGTACTTTATCAAGCGAATAATACATTCAGATACGTACTTGACTTAGCCGTTAATATCCCCGCCATCATTACCAACAAACTACAGTATTACAAGCGACTCGATTCTTTTTCCAGATCTCCTTCGAGTATCGATTAGTTGCAGGCAAAATAAATAGGACATCACAAAATATTTCGGGTTAATTATTCAATCAAAGTGAAGTATAAAAGGGAAATGAGAGAAAATAAAAAAATAAGAAATTTTGTACAAAGCTTTCCTTATTTTTGTTTTTGGAAAATGTATGTGACGAGTGAAAAGAAGGTTTTCTAAATGAATGCCGGAAAGGAAAGAGAGGAAAAAATAGGGAAAGAAAGACAAAAATACATATAGAAACATCAATAATAATTTTGATACTAAAACAACAACAACTACTATTAGTAGTAGTTGTAGTATTGCTAGCAATAAATCTCAAAGAATGTAAGGTCTTAAGCGCGGTCGCGCTGAAAACGCGCTATTTAAACTTTCTTTTCTTGTCTTTTTTCCTCAGATTC